GTACCTGGGCCACGTCGTTCGTCCAGGTACATTGGAAGTTGACGCCGCGCGAACCACCGCACTGGAACAAGTGAGGTACCCTCAAACGCAGACCCAGCTCAGGACCTTCTTGGGACTCTGCAATGTCTACCGCAGGTTTGTCCCACATTACGCGAAAATTGCGCATCCGCTCAATCAACTATTGAAGAAGGGACAACCGGTCCAGGTGGAAGGATTCGACGAACCGTGCGAAAAAGCTTTTCATAAGCTCAAGGACGCTATCTTGGCACCGCCGGTGTTGGCGCTGCCGAAGAAGGACCTACCATACTCGGTAGACACTGATGCAAGCCACTATCAAATCGGCGCTGCATTATTTCAAACGCATCCGGATGGGCAACGTAAACCCATCGGGTTCTTTTCAAGAACGTTAGCCGCAGCCGAGAGAAACTATTCTGTATCAGAAAAAGAATGTCTAGCGGTAATCTGGGCCGTACAGACTCTAATACCATATTTATATGGCGAGCACTTCATTGTGCATACCGACCATGCCTCATTGAGGTGGTTGATGAACGTAACCGACCCCAGCGGGAGATTAATCCGATGGAGGCTCCGCCTCTCGGAATTTGATTTCGAAATTAAGTACAAGAAGGGCAAGGGTAACAGCCAAGCCGATGCCCTGTCAAGACTACGGACCGCTGGAGAAACCGTCGACGAAATCGATGACGAAATTCCATGCTTTATGACCGAACCGGCCGAGGGAACAGTGGAGGACGAGGACAATTCTGTCGCGCGAGACGACATCCTCGCTCTTGAGGGGGGGGGGCCGCCCCTGATCGCCTCGATCAATTCCAAGCTGTCACTCCGGAGGAGCTCATTCGCGAGTGTAGTGCAATGTGCCTGGCAGGCCGCGAACACAGTCCAACGGTCAAACAAAAAGACGAAAAACAACAGCAACAACAACAACTGCCGATGGCACGCGCTACGGAGCGTTCGAAACTCCCTTTCACCTTGTGTGGGCTTGCGGCCCACGGTATCTCAACTCCGATGGGGGGGGGGGGTAAGGAAAGATGCCCGGCCGGGAGGAAAATGGTGGTAGAGACTTGCCAAGACTTGGGCGCTCGGCGAGTGCGGGTTGGGTTGGTCTACGAGAATGTAACCGCAGTTCACTGGGTTGCAAGGCCAATGCTCGACGAGCGTCTTCAGCACCTTGGGTATAATTCAAGGTCCTCGACCGGGGCTTGCTCAGCACTACCCGACGGGATCGTAATTGTGTAGCAGCGCTACGACCGACGTGTTGCCCGATGGCTAAAAACAACCTCACCAGCGCAATCGCAATCGCGGTAGATGGTACCAACTCTGTCTTATACAGTAAGACCTTCGACGGAGGCGTCGTCGCAACAGCCTTCCGACGGAACTTGAAACAGTAGCAGCGCTACACAACGTGTTGCCCGATGGCTAAAACACCTACACCGGATCGGTCGCAACCGACTCCAGTGGAACCAACACAATTAAGGGAAAAATAGAGATAGAAGTAGAAAAGAATAGGGAAATAAAGGAAAGAGAAAAAGGGAACCCCCGAGCGCAAGGATGCCGTAGGCTTAGGTAAAAGGGAGCGTCTTGGTAGAGACGGACTTGGACCAAGGCGACATTCAACTCTGGCAACTCGGGTTACCTTTACTGACTTGGTCGTCAGAGGGCTAAGGTATATATCGCCCCGCCGGAGCCAGTACAGTAGCTCGCGGCGCTAGATCCTAGATCTAATCTAGTGTCAGCAAAATTAATGCCAACTAATTAACTAAATAAAATTAAATAATTAAAAATTAAAACCATGCAATTATTCACACGTGTGTCCCCCAACCCGGACTACTTTTCATATCCAAATATTTTCCTTTCATTTCACCCCCTTTTTCAGGTGCGTATTGCACTACATATACCCCTTCTGAGCGCCCTTGCCCAGTGCGCTTCGCTACAGAATCTCCCAAGTCCTTCATCCTTTTTCGACCGACGGTTATAGCCGCAGCAAGGGCAAGACGAACCTCATGTTTCCTCGTATTTCCCAACCCGTCTCTCTGTATACGTCCCGGGCGTTTTGCAGCTTCAATCCTCCTCTAAACTCCGGACAATGTAACGCGGCTTCCTCCGTTTTCGGAGCGATTTCTCCGGCGCGCCGGTCCGCGACAGTTCTTTTTTGAAATATCTCTTCATCCCCTTCTGCATCCGGTACGGGCTTGCACCACCGATCCGGTCAACGCAAGTCTTTCGTGGACAAATCCCGTCCTCCCTTACATCAACGTTGGGAACGAATTTGTGGTCGTAGTTGTACTGCCGCTCTTCTTAGATCCACGTTGCGAACAGCTCAGGGTCAACAAACATAAGTGGATGTTATCGTTCCGATCCGTATATCGAGGGTCTGTTCCCTCGCAGTGCATGCCGCTGTTCTTCCTGTGGAGTGCCCATTCGTCCCTGGTATGACAACTTTTTTTAAAAGCTTTTCGCGACACGTCCTAATCATCCAAATAAGAAAGCACGTTCGTGTGCTTGTTAACCTCGACATCAAATCAGAGAGGCCTGTCGAGCGTATTTAGCGGGTATGCACACGCTTCCCCGACTATCTCGCTTCGTTGGTACGACATTCGACCTTCCGAATGCGGCTCCTTCACACATGAATTTGATGGGCGGCTTACACTTCCTATGAGGTCGGCGTAGGTCGTCCCAATAAACGACCCACAAGGTCAGAGGGGTACTGCTTCCTTAAAAAAAGGAAGGAGCGAAACTTCTCCCCTCTCAAACGCACAAGAGCTGCTATAGGCTATTTGCCGTTGCCTCCGTCTCCCCTTGGTGATGTGCCATCCTTCGCATCGTCTTTTCCCCTTGACACCCCTTTCCATTTCTCACCATTCGTAACTGTAGGCAGCTCTACTGACGGAAAAGGCGGCCCGAGAAGGGCATGATAACATGTTGACACGATTACGGATTTTTTTTCTGAGGCGAATTAAGATTATCCGTGAGAGTCTCCTCTGCTATTTCGGGGAGGATGGCATGTTTCCCGTGACGATCCACGCGTTTAGTCTTCTCTCTCTTCTCTGGGTTGACCTTTTCATAGCCTGAACGACAGCGATCGGAGTCCTTCTGACTGACTATTTCTCCCCTCCGTTTTTCTTTTGACAGATTCTCGAATAGAGATTACTGCGATCCTAAATTACCAGCCTTTGTCCATTACTCCTTCACCATCACTTCCCATTCACTCCTGGACTGCTGAGCGCTAGAGACAAGCAACTCTGGGTCCATGCTCAAAATCTCGCGCGATGCTCCTCTCAATAGGGCATTCTGCGTTTCACCCCTTGACGTCTCACATGTCCTCCCTTCACCTCCTATCTCCCTGAGCGCGTGCCATGCCTTTTTGATTGTGATATAATGTTCCGCCTCCCTACCTTTCCGTTTTTTGTTCACTCCATCATTTGATGTGGCGGGGGGGTTCTGCCAACAGCGTCTCCTGCTTGAGATAAAACTTTTCCTTTCTCAGGCAAAGTTTCGAACTTCGAGCCGGACCGAAAACAAACAATCCTTCGAGGGGGTAGTGGTCCTACTGTGGGCTTTTTTTTAAGCGTGGGCCTGTTCGACCTTCTCAGATTCTCGTGTAGTGTCCTCGGCGAATTTCATCAAGTTGCCCTACCCTCGTGACGTGGTAATCGTCAACCGTGAGCAAAAATTTCCTTCCCTCGCATGATAGTCCTGGAACACGAGTACGTTGAAATTTTTCCAAAGGAAAGCCGGAGGTTTCCGTTACGTCAAAGATCCTACTAAAGTTAGAAAAATTACGACAACTTCCCATACGACAAATGTCGCTCATTCTCCTTTGTCGGTGCCATCATGCACCCATAGCCAACCTCGACGCGAGAATCGAGCAAGGGTCTGGTCCTTCAATCCCTTCGTGAATGCGTCGACTTCTCAGCGTTACAGTGTACGAGTTAGAGATACCAACCGCACTGGGTCGCAACGGACGTAGATGCCGAGGCTCGCGGCGCTACTGTCCGGATCGTATAAACTGGCTAACCAGCGGTGCCCCCTCTCTTCCCACTTTCTCTTCGTCCAGAATAGCGTCAGTACCACTGACTTTGTCTCCGTCTCGTCCGAGGATTGATCCCCTTCTTCCTCGTTGACACGGTAGTTACCATATTCCTCGTCGTGGCCTTCTCGCTCTACTCGTCGACAAATCGATGGGAGAACCTGTACTCCTTAACTACAACAAAAACAAAACAAAAGGAAAACAGAAAAGGCGTGTGCTTGCGAGAGCGACTTTGTCCGAATGAAAGGGACAGTCGCTGCAGTTGCGGCACGTTGATGCACGCGTTTGACAGTTTCGCGCTAACTGCGGAGAAAATCATCTCATCGCTGGCGATGCGTCGCCCTCACGATCGTGGTAGTAGTATAGTTGGCCGTCCCCGTGTGAGGTGGGACGTGACGCGTGGTTTGGGGAATATGACGGCTGCGGTGGACTATTGCGAGGTTTCCTCCTGGCTACCTTCGCTTTGGTCAACCAAAGAAAATGTCTATCAGCGTCACGACTCATATTGAGTCAATGCAAAACGGCGGTAGTGCTCTTGTTGGTAGTTGCGTCGTCGAGAACTCCTTGGCTTTGTCGAGGACGGAGGTGGGCTCGGTAGTGGTGAGCCCGTCTTCATGTTGAGGAACAACAGCGCTGCATCGCAACCAGTATTTTCTCTTACAACACCGTCGTCCCTCGGAACTAAAAACACGCATGCACACGTTGCCACGTGTCTCCACACTTTGTCACAACAAAATCCATCTTCCGATCGCGCGTGTTAGCGGCAATATTCCACTGCGAAGTCAATGAGGCTTCCCGCCCCTCACCCATTCGTCTAAGCCGTACATCTTAGGTACCTCCTCGGTTCATGCAGTCGACACTCGGAACGGTCTCCAAGCCTGCGGATAGTGAGGCATTCTGACGATCCACACTTAGTCTTCCGCGACACAACTCCAATGATCCAACCGTTCCCCTGGCAACAACGATACCCCCGATCTTCCGCCCGACGTCAGACGTTTCCAAGAAGCTTTCCCTCTGATTTCTCTCTCCGGCATCATCTTCCCGGATTTAACCAAGCCTGGGCCATACGGGCACTTCGTGAGCATCTCCATCAACCGTAGTCTCGGGACAGCGGCCTTCGTCACAGCTAGAATTAATAATGAGGTTTCTGTTTTCGAAACCGATGTTGCCTGTCCTTCAACCCCCTTCTTGTATGCAGTCCCCAACTCTGGCACGTCCTCAATTCGTCTACCTCTTCCTTCAACCGTTCCTTCTCTTATTCAGGGAACCTAACTAGAGTGACAATCTTGTCACTGAAAACGTACAACTATTTTCCCCATTTTTTTTGTCTGAGGGATCTACTGTGTTCACCTCCCTTCCCTCGTCAATCAGTAGGAGATCACCGTCTCGAAAGGCCTCGCTTCCCCGGTGGAGGTGACTCGCATGTAGAAACACGAACGGTGATACTGTGTGCGAATAGGACTTGCAGATCGCTTTTCACAATCCTTTCCTTTCCAGCTCATGGAGACCACCAGGAGCACGTCATGCCGTCGGCACCATGATCCGAGCATCTTCTTTCACTTAGGTTCTTCTCATTTCCCTCGCGTCTTCCCGGCGTGGTCCGGGGAGATGCCTCCATCCTCACAACAAAATATAACAAAGCAGAACAGAAACCCTGAATGGCGAGAATCCCGCGACGCGGGCGTCGACCGTAACCTTGTCAAAGGCGGAATCGATCTCGAAGATTATCGCCTCTTCAACGTCCCCCTTGGACTCCTCATAGACTTGCTGACCGACCTCCGCGGTGCGCGGTCGTGTCCCTAACATCTCAAAAATAATAAAACGAAATAAAACAACACAAAAGCAATCATAAATAAAACAAAAACGAGACCGAACTGTTATGAAGGTAAGAGTGAAAAAGGGTGGATTATCCAGTCCATGTACCTGTTCTTCCCGCGTTCTTTCTTCGCTTGGCACCCCGTTACGCGACTTCCGACCTGAGTATCTCATCACGACGTTCATCCTACTCGTGCGCGCGCTGCCTATACTTGCGGGTGGCTATCTGAAGGTCCCTCACCTGGTTCGTTCCATCTCATCGTTCCCCTTTTCTTGACCCTCAGGTCGGCTCGCTCTGCCCAGTGCGGATTACCGCACTGACACTGACATGTGAAATTCATGGTTACCACTATCCTGATTGCGCTTGCGCGACCTGCGCGGGCAAGGATAATCTTTTCCGTCGGAAATACGTGACGGCCGCGCTGCGGGGCAATTGCTCAATGGGTTCCCACGTTGCGTCCTTGAGGGTATACCCATACCATCTCACTTTGAGAATTAATTTCTCCCCGTCGTAGCCGTGATCCACGATCTTGTCGATCACATACTCCGGACTCCGGGCTTCTTCTTCCTGCGTGTCCAACTGTCCGTCCCCCTTCCGAAGAGTCGACGACTCATCCTCGTCCTGCCCTTCCGAACCTCCCATCTCTTGTAGACCGGGCGGGGTGCCCGTAGCTTCCTGATTTATCAACGGTCCGTCATCCATCCTATCTTTCGTTTGCGCGGCGAGTCCTTCTCGTTCTCCGTCTGTGTTGAGGAATTGTAGCGCTTGTCGTAGCCTGACTATCGGCGTGTAGTCCATGGGACTAGGGGCTAATTCGACTCTATCTCGCGACACGCGCTCTTCCTGGTCGCTGATGGATATGACGACCGTATTCTCAGTTGACTCCTTCACTTGATATGGACCTGTGGCCACTTGTGACAACTTATATTTCGGCTCGGTGGCCGTGCCTTGCTCTTTCCGAAGGAATACGTATGATCCTGAAGGGATGTCATACTTCGACTTGCGGAGCCTTGCGTCGAAATTTCGCTTGTAGCGCGCTTGTTCTTTCCGCAAGCTCTTACCAGCGCCTTTCATCAGGCTTTCCAACCACGACTGCCATTTCAGGTAGTACGCTCGATTCGAGCTAAATCCTTCCAAACTTGGCTGTGCTTGTAACGCAATGCTTCTCGGCGCCCGAGCTAACACCAGCTCGAAGGGCGCGATGTTCGTAGTTCGATGCACTTGCGTGTTGTATGCGAACGTCACGGCGTCGCTAAAAGGTCCCAGTCCTTCGGATGTTCTCCAACATATTTTCGCAGCACGGAAGTCAGCGTGCGGTTAAACCTCTCAACTTGGCCGTTGGCCTGGGGGTGATACGTCGTCGTGAAGACTTTGCGTATGCCCAAAATTTGACAGACATTCCGAAAGAACCGGGCCGTGAACTGTGTTCCATTGTCGGACAGCCGCTTGACCGGCTGGTCCGTACACGAATACCCAATGGTGAACGAAGGCTTGTGCGATGTGTGCAGCTGATATCTTCTTCAACGGTACGGTTCGTACCAGTTTCGAGTATCGATCGCTGATCACGAGAATATACCGATTTCCTCGTTCAGTTGTAATTAGCTCGCCGAGGATGTCGATGGCGACAAACTCCAGCGGAGCTTTGGGCGTGAACAGCTTCATTTCCTTCGTGTTTCTTCTTAACTTCACCCTTTCCCGCGCACATGCGGCGCAATTCTTCGCGACTGCGTAGCAGTCTAGGGCCATCGTAGGCCAATAAAAATATCTTCTCAATGTCTTGTAAAGTTTCCTGCCTCCCGGGTGGCCTGCCAATTTTGCGTAGTGGCTCAACCCTAGGACGCGGTCCCTTAACGATTGTGGTATCACCACTTATACAAACTCCGCCGCGGTACGGCATAGAGTTCCTTCGAGTTCCTCGGTCTCCATGCTGAACGTTCTCACCTTTCCGGCGTCCATTTCTTCCTTGATGCGATTGCAGAAGGGGTCGACGGCTTGCTCGCGAATGAGCTCCTCCGGAGTGACAGCTTGGAATTGATCGAGGCGATCAGGGGCGGCTCCCCCTCAAGAGCGAGGATGTCGTCTATCGCGACAGAATTGTCCTCGTCCTCCACTGTTCCCTCGGCCGGTTTGGCCATAAAGCATAGAATTTCGTCGTCGATTTCGTCGACGGTTTCTCCTGCAGTCCGTAATCTTGACAGGGCATCGGCTTGGCTGTTCGCCTTGCCCTTCTTGTATTTGATTTCGAAATCAAATTCCGAGAGGCGGAGCCTCCATCGGATTAATCTCCCGCTGGGGTCGGTTACGTTCATCAACCACCTCAATGAGGCATGATTGGTATGCACAATGAAGTGCTCGCCATATAGATATGGTATTAGAGTCTGTACGGCCCAGATTACCGCTAGACATTCTTTTTCTGATACAGAATAGTTTCTCTCGGCTGCGGCTAACGTTCTTGAAAAGAACCCGATGGGTTTACGTTGCCCATCCGGATGCGTTTGAAATAATGCAGCGCCGATTTGATAGTGGCTTGCATCAGTGTCTACCGAGTATGGTAGGTCCTTCTTCGGCAGCGCCAACACCGGCGGTGCCAAGATAGCGTCCTTGAGCTTATGAAAAGCTTTTTCGCACGGTTCGTCGAATCCTTCCACCTGGACCGGTTGTCCCTTCTTCAATAGTTGATTGAGCGGATGCGCAATTTTCGCGTAATGTGGGACAAACCTGCGGTAGACATTGCAGAGTCCCAAGAAGGTCCTGAGCTGGGTCTGCGTTTGAGGGTACCTCACTTGTTCCAGTGCGGTGGTTCGCGCGGCGTCAACTTCCAATGTACCTGGACGAACGACGTGGCCCAGGTACTTGATCTTTTCGACGAAAAATTCGCACTTGCGAAGCTTGAGCTTCACACCTGCCTTTTCCAATACAGACAGTATTTCGTCAACGTGGACGACGTGCTCCTCCCAGGATTTGCTGAAGATGATGATAGCATCTAGATATACCAGACAGCATTTCCAGCGGAACGGAGAGAGCAGGATATCCATAGCTCTCTGAAACGTCGCTGGCGCATTGGTAAGCCCGAAGGGCATTCTTGAAAAACGGTAGAGACCTGAGTGACACGAAAAAGCTGTCTTGTCGCGGTCCGCTTCCGGAATAGGCATTTGCCAATACCCTGAAATCGCGTCCAACGCGGAAAAGACCTTGGTGTCTCCCAACGAGTCCAGACACTCATCCATGCGCGGCAAAGGGTACGTGTCCTTTACCGTTACCGCGTTTAACCTGCGATAGTCGACACAAAAGCGCATCGATCCGTCCGGCTTGGGCACTAATAAAACGGGCGACGCCCATTCTGACTGCGCCGGCTCGATGACTCCTGCTTCTAACATCTTCTGTACTTCTGCGTCCTCGACCTCCCGAGCCTTTGGACCGGCTCGGTAGGGAGCTTGTGCGATTGGCCTTGTATCCGGGGCCAGTTCAATCCGGTGGACCGTGGTGTTGATTTCACCAAGGGTCCATCCCACATGCGGGAATATTTTTTTAGCATCCGACGGAATCTTTCGCGCAGCCGGTCCGGCACGTGGCTCAGGTCGAGCTCCTCCACGTCCGGCGGGGGAGGCTCAATCCGCCGCTCCGGCTTCGTAGTTGCCGTCGCGGGGAGCCCTTCCTCCCGTTCTCCTTGCTGGTCCTCGCGATCTTG